TTTCAACACGGGATAGGTTAATATATTTTTTCGTACATAATTGGTTATCCGAACAACCCCAGTCCCTAAAACGACGCTCTACTGTATTGTAAAAATATTTGAATATAATTTAATGCATTAAAGCCTCCAGACAAAAATATAAAAGGGAAGTATATGAATATATATGAATGCTAGTAAAAGCTGACTATACTGCAATGAGGAAATTTACACTAATAATCTTTTTCCTGAATTTTCTAATGAATATGATAGTTTAGATAAAACTGAAATGAATTGCAATAATAAAAAATGAATGATCTCATTAATAAAAATGAATGATTAAACAAATATGAGAATTCTTCTTTACTTTTCTAAAATCACAAATTAAGAAGAATAGCATTTTCAAAATTTACAATCTCATTTTTGTTATGGCAAAAATTCTTTCTTTAATAGAAAGGAGGGCTAATTAGCTCACTTCTAGAGAGTGATATCATCAAGTTAATGATAAACTTCATTGAAACAATTTTTCTAAGAAAATATGAAACTTGCATCTACAAATATTTCAGACATTAAATTTACAGAAATATTCTACAGGGTTCCTCTATTAAAAATACCAATTCTAGTTAAACAGTCTTGAAATTTCAGACAGACTAGTTATTATATTCATTTAATAATGTTTATTTTCATAAATTAATATTTAATTCAATCATTCAAATTATCATGAGATAACATCATTTATCTCTAGTATCAAATTTATTCATAATTAATTTCTAATCAACTTGAATATAAAAGTAGCATTTTAATGTGCTTTAGAAATACATTTTATATTTGTAATCAAACTATCAATCAATTTAATTGTATGATGAATAAATATTAATAATCTAAATTGATTTTGTTTGTATATTTTTTATTTTTACCATTTGGAAATAAATAAGGTAATGATATTTTTATCAGAAATAATTGAAAATATCCCTGCTGAATTTTATAAATTACTAAATCATAATTAAATTTTCTAATTAAAAACATATTTAAATACCAAATAAAAAAATCATTTTCAATAATGAAAGATAAGAGATAAAGTCAAAAAACAATTGCTATAAAATACAATTTATAGAATGAGAGAAACATTATTGTAATTTAAACTACATTCTGAAGTACAGATAAAATAATGTTTAAAACAGCAGTCTAATATACCATATATCCTATTACTGGATATTTTATGAAAATATTAGATATAATTTCAAAGAATAGAAATATTTTGCCAAAAAAATTAAATATTTTCAATTAATAAATTTCTTATAATATGTTTAAATAAATATTTATAAACAGAATATAAGTATTAATTAATAATAGAATAATAATGGCAAACAAATAAATTTAAATTCTTGTTTTCTAATAACATTACAAAATTTAAAAAAATTACTATAAAAAAATTAAGAATCAAAATTAAATGAAATTTTTTATTAATTTTATCTAATATAACATGAATTTTACTTCACATTTACTTAAAAACTGATTTATTAAATATTACATTTAATTTATATAAGTATAAAATTGAATGTAAAGCTTCATTTCACACCATTATCAAATTAATTTATGATTACTGAAAGAAATAATAGTCGTATCTGTACTTGGTAGATATATTCTATCAGACAAAAACAGAAAAATATTTATTTTTTATTGAAAATATTAGCATTAAATATTATCCATGCAAATTAGTTTTTTTGTACCTAATATTTTAATAAATAAACTTAATTATAATTAATTTCTTTATTTTGCTTTTAAATAAAAAAATAAATACCATACATTTGAAATATGTATTTTTAACCCATTAATATTCAATGAATTTACAATAGTGTACTGTACATATAATAAGCATAAAATATTTATTTGCATATAGGCAAAGAATTAATGAGCTATTGTGTATACAATTAGAAAGCTTTTCATTAAATAAGAATTGAAAGGATTTATAAAATTGTGTTATCTTCTTAAAAGATTTCATGTGAAAAAAGTTTTTAATTGTTTTGATAATTTTTGTCAACACTGTACATGAAAAAAAAACAGATATAATAAAATTAATGTTAGCATTTTAATGTTATCCATCAAATATATTTATTTATTTATTTAAAGAAAGAATAAATAAAGAATGAAAATGAATCTTTATTTAGTAGCCATAAATATAATTTTAACTAAAAATTAAATTTTAAATTGTAAGTCAAAGTTTTTTAAATATATATGAAGACAATGTCACATTGATTAAAATAATTTAAATTCCAATTCAATTTTGATTATTAAAGAGAAATGTTTTTCACTTATAATGTCAATGATTTTAACCTGTTAAATGTTAAGGTTTAAAATGTTTGCTATATCTAAGCAGCTTTTACACACAGTATTCATGTAACCTATGATACATTAACTGCAAAGGACTACTTCTAGGCTGATCTACTTTATGTTCAATAGGAAATACTGGTAGTTTGCTTTTTTATATATAAATATTTTGCTATAGTTAAGCAGCATTTGCATATATTAATATAGAATATTTTATCAGTAAATGACTTTCTTTAAACTTCTTTTTTCCATGATAAATAAAAATGTGCATTCTAATTTTACATTTTTCAACCAGAATACAGTAAAAAAATTTTTGAAGCCAAATGCCAAGGGCACAGAGTAGCTTAAATACACTAAATACATTTTTATTAAATATTCTATGCTTAATATGTGCCATAAAACATGGTAAGTTAAAATTGCAATTTGAATTTGTTACATTGATTTCTGATGCTTGACTTTTATTTTTAAATACAACTTATTAAGCAATCTTTTAAACCCTAGTAAATACAGAAACTTCATTAGAAAAATAATGATTTCATATGCCACAGGCTAAAATATGTTAATCTATAATTACAAAACATTATTTTATAAAATACTTTTGTCTTTATGATCATTTCTACTAAGTCCAAAAAATCTNAACAAATTTCACCATAATGCCTACATTAATGAAAGACTAGGAAATTTTGTAATGAGAGATGGGATACAATGTATATTTTTGTAACATATAAATTATATCATTTCCTATTATTCTCCATGTTAATATATATATTTATAATTTTATTAGTAGTTTATAAAAAGCCTAAACAAATTTAAATCACTTAATCTTATGTAAATTATAATGCCAAACTGAAAAAAATTGACTACTATTCTGTCACAATAAGTTGATTTAAAATGATATTAAACATTATTTTACTATGAAAATGCAAAGGTTCAGTTTCAGTTTTATTATAAAATTAACTATATTAGAATGAATTATGATTAAATTCATAAATACAGTAAACTCCAGATTATCCGTGCATGAATTTAATTTAAAAAAAATAATTATATGTGTATGTATTTTTTAAATAGTTGCTCGCTTTCATGTTTAGGCACCCTATAAGTGTGCACGTGTTCATATTTAGATGTTTGAAGCAGGTGGTGGGGGTATCTGAAGTCAGCTGGACTGGTTTTAGTTAGGCCGCTTCTTTCGCACAGGATGTTTCTTTTTGGAAAAGAAAACGATAGTGAGTACATTTATACAAAGTTTCGTTTAGTTGCATGTTATAATATGTATTACAATTTAAGATTTGATTATATGTACAGTACATATGTATAATGTATATTATACATAATATTTTTTCAAATAACTCTCCCACAAATACTTTTAGTAAAATTACATAAAATAACATGTTTTTTAAATTTTCAGATAAGTACAGTACCCTTAAAATGTGTAATAATCGAAAGAAAGCTGTACTTACTATAAAACAAAAACTAACGTTAATTGAAAAATTTGAAAAAGGTGAATTTACATGTTGTATTTTAGAAATTAATTATAGTTCGGATTATCTGTGCCACCTCTCCCCACCATTAGCCTGGATAATTGGGAGTTTACTGTATTATAAACTGAAATTTTTGAATATATTTTAATAAATAAAATGTAATACAGATGTTGGTAATATTAGTTAGTGCAAAATATAGTAAACTGAATTAAACAGATAAATTCATATTTAATTTTTCTCTATTACTCATATAATGTACAACATAATGAATTAATACATTCTTGAAGATTCTTGAATTCTCAATAATTTATAAATTGATAAATTCAATCATCTAACAAATGATATTTCTTAAAAGTTATAAAAAAATACTAATTAATATTTGCTATAATTTTATCAAAATTATAATATTGTAGTCATTCTACACAAATACAAATCATAGAACTGATTAAACTTATTCCAAAAAATGAATTCATTTTTCTCTAGAATTTTCATTACATTTGAAAATTTATTTTAAAAATAAATACTGCAATAATTTACAAAATATACTGTATTATTTAAAGTTATAAATGTCATTATTTCATTATTGATTCAATATTAAAATTCTTAATATATAAATAAACAAAAGAGTAAGATACATATATTTATGCTTTTATAATGATGATTTTTAAATTTATTTTTAGCTATTTAATAATACTTTTTAACACCAAATTTTTAAATCATAATATTTTAGTCACAATATTGAAATATTTATAAAACTAATACTGTATTTAAAAAGCAAAATACAATATTTTATTTAATTTTCAAAATTTTTAAAAATCAATTAGTTTTATCATTATTAAATGCAACTCTTCATTAATAAAAATCTTTTAAAATAAATTTATAATTATTATTAAAGTTAATTTCTACAAAAATACATAAAATCCACTATCTTAAATTCACCCAAAAATATAGGTCAACTTATTTTCTTCTGCAGTAATTTGATAACAAATAGAAACTACACAGTTAAACTTTAAAAATAAAGAATCTATATCAACTATCATATCTTTATAATACACTTGATATTAATTTGTAAATCCTACTAAATATTATATTGAAACGATTATACATTCATATATAAAATGGAAAAATTAATTATTCTTTCTAAAGTTTTCAATATTTAAATATTAATTGCAAGAATATGTTTATCTTTCTAAATTATAAAATAGGTAAAAATCTTACCGTCTCCACAGCCCACCATCCAAAAGTTGAGGTACCAAAGTGTTAGCTTTCCTTAAGGTTTCCCTACGTCCTTTACTACGATTAACAGCTTCTCTTAATGCAAACATCCAATCATCCAGGCCTTTGGTTCTCCATAACAACAGTTGACCTTCCTGACCAACTTTCAAAGCTATAACTCCATCACGTTTTTTATCAACCCACTGGAGTCCTTCAACATCTACTAAATTTACCTAAATTAACATAATACGGTAACCAAATGTAATTTCAAAGCATTTAAAAATATAAGTGAGTTACGAAATCTTAATATAAAAGTACAGATATAGTTTTTCTCATATAAAAGTTTACAGATTTCACACAGAAGAAGTAATATTACGTACCTTATATAAAAAACTCCCCATTTCTGAAATTCCTATTTTCGATCCTTTTTTGAAACACGCCAGATAATCTCTCGTGAGTATAAAGAAACGTTCTTTCCACCGACTGAAAAATCGGTCCCATTGTTGCCACAACAAACCCTTCTTTAAAGTCGCTACTTCTAAACTCGTCTCCTTAGGTTCAGGTAACGATGTCATTATTCATAGGAAACATCAGACATGTTATAAAATTTTGTACACTGGAATTTTCAATTAACATCTTTAATTACATTACTAAATTATAAAATAATACATTTTATTTATTTTTATATATTATAACTACTATTTTAAAAAATTGTTATATAATGAACTAGGTTATTCTTGCATATAAATGGAACAATAAAAATATCACAAGGAAATTTCAAAGACCTCCTTCTGTCAAGTTCTAAATATATAATTAATAATCTTACTTGATAATAAGTAAGCATACTTTTTAAANAATTATTATTAAAGTTAATTTCTACAAAAATACATAAAATCCACTATCTTAAATTCACCCAAAAATATAGGTCAACTTATTTTCTTCTGCAGTAATTTGATAACAAATAGAAACTACACAGTTAAACTTTAAAAATAAAGAATCTATATCAACTATCATATCTTTATAATACACTTGATATTAATTTGTAAATCCTACTAAATATTATATTGAAACGATTATACATTCATATATAAAATGGAAAAATTAATTATTCTTTCTAAAGTTTTCAATATTTAAATATTAATTGCAAGAATATGTTTATCTTTCTAAATTATAAAATAGGTAAAAATCTTACCGTCTCCACAGCCCACCATCCAAAAGTTGAGGTACCAAAGTGTTAGCTTTCCTTAAGGTTTCCCTACGTCCTTTACTACGATTAACAGCTTCTCTTAATGCAAACATCCAATCATCCAGGCCTTTGGTTCTCCATAACAACAGTTGACCTTCCTGACCAACTTTCAAAGCTATAACTCCATCACGTTTTTTATCAACCCACTGGAGTCCTTCAACATCTACTAAATTTACCTAAATTAACATAATACGGTAACCAAATGTAATTTCAAAGCATTTAAAAATATAAGTGAGTTACGAAATCTTAATATAAAAGTACAGATATAGTTTTTCTCATATAAAAGTTTACAGATTTCACACAGAAGAAGTAATATTACGTACCTTATATAAAAAACTCCCCATTTCTGAAATTCCTATTTTCGATCCTTTTTTGAAACACGCCAGATAATCTCTCGTGAGTATAAAGAAACGTTCTTTCCACCGACTGAAAAATCGGTCCCATTGTTGCCACAACAAACCCTTCTTTAAAGTCGCTACTTCTAAACTCGTCTCCTTAGGTTCAGGTAACGATGTCATTATTCATAGGAAACATCAGACATGTTATAAAATTTTGTACACTGGAATTTTCAATTAACATCTTTAATTACATTACTAAATTATAAAATAATACATTTTATTTATTTTTATATATTATAACTACTATTTTAAAAAATTGTTATATAATGAACTAGGTTATTCTTGCATATAAATGGAACAATAAAAATATCACAAGGAAATTTCAAAGACCTCCTTCTGTCAAGTTCTAAATATATAATTAATAATCTTACTTGATAATAAGTAAGCATACTTTTTAAATAAATTTACAGATAAATATAAATGATCTTTCTATGTTTAATTAATTTAATTTATTATAGAATAATTCCTTGTTTAAAAAAAACACACACAATCTTAATTTGTTTAACTCTAGCAGAATCAATTAAATAGAATAGGATGATAATACAATGAAGATAAAGATCTATGAATGAATATAAGATAGAATAATAAACAAGATTAGTATCAATCACCACAAATTATACCATTGAATAGAATAAACAATCGATAAAACAAAATAATTCAAGTTTTGTATAGCACAAAGGTTAAAAAACTGGATTTATTGTAAGTATATACGCCTACCTTTGCTATGTATAATAGTGAAAGGCCCTGGATCGGGTCCCAATTTCCTGCCACAGGATGTCTTTTCCATTGAAACTGGGGAGTGTATCGAGTCGCTTATAGTAAATGGCATTTCGATAACTTTCATCAGCAAATACGACTCAACACGTTCGATAAGTTAAGCTAAAAACGTTCAATAAAAATCAGCTGGACGACGTGTTACAAGGACAGAAAAGCATTGACCGCATTCGGCAATTTTCGATCCCATCGTGGTTTTTTTTTCCTACGTAACCACACCCTGTATTCATTTTAACTTAATTTGGCTAACATGTACCATCGGTAGTCATAACTAAAAATCGTTATTAAAGTTAATAACTCACCTTAACGAGATTTCTAATCCGATCTGTACAGGCATAGAAGAGCGCTCTCTCGTTCACCTCGACGAGGAATAGACCCGACCCAGTTCCCGTTAGAAGGCAACAACAATTAACTAAAAGACCGGTTAAAATTCTGTCGGTGACTCATGCAAGTCGGGAGGAACAGAAAAAAAGTATATATGTATATATATATAAATGCGTTACGGTTAAGATTGACGTCTGTCTGCGTAACGCATTCTTTAGCGTTATTCTTAGTTGACTCACAATGCCTCCCCGTCGCACCCCGGGAGGTGGAAGGTGTATTTCCTGTGTAACACACACACACACGATTTTTGTTTCGTATCTTTCATTTCAGAAACAATCCAATATGTTTGTTTCAACAATTAAATTCGGCGTGTTTAAAATTTATGTTAAGTGCAACTTCAAGAGTACAATTTTAAAAATAGTTTTTAACTTTTGTGCGCGTAGATTTTCTATTTATTAACGTTATAAAACGACCATTTCTCTTACAGTTNCACAATCTTAATTTGTTTAACTCTAGCAGAATCAATTAAATAGAATAGGATGATAATACAATGAAGATAAAGATCTATGAATGAATATAAGATAGAATAATAAACAAGATTAGTATCAATCACCACAAATTATACCATTGAATAGAATAAACAATCGATAAAACAAAATAATTCAAGTTTTGTATAGCACAAAGGTTAAAAAACTGGATTTATTGCAAGTATATACGCCTACCTTTGCTATGTATAATAGTGAAAGGCCCTGGATCGGGTCCCAATTTCCTGCCACAGGATGTCTTTTCCATTGAAACTGGGGAGTGTATCGAGTCGCTTATAGTAAATGGCATTTCGATAACTTTCATCAGCAAATACGACTCAACACGTTCGATAAGTTAAGCTAAAAACGTTCAATAAAAATCAGCTGGACGACGTGTTACAAGGACAGAAAAGCATTGACCGCATTCGGCAATTTTCGATCCCATCGTGGTTTTTTTTTCCTACGTAACCACACCCTGTATTCATTTTAACTTAATTTGGCTAACATGTACCATCGGTAGTCATAACTAAAAATCGTTATTAAAGTTAATAACTCACCTTAACGAGATTTCTAATCCGATCTGTACAGGCATAGAAGAGCGCTCTCTCGTTCACCTCGACGAGGAATAGACCCGACCCAGTTCCCGTTAGAAGGCAACAACAATTAACTAAAAGACCGGTTAAAATTCTGTCGGTGACTCATGCAAGTCGGGAGGAACAGAAAAAAAGTATATATGTATATATATATAAATGCGTTACGGTTAAGATTGACGTCTGTCTGCGTAACGCATTCTTTAGCGTTATTCTTAGTTGACTCACAATGCCTCCCCGTCGCACCCCGGGAGGTGGAAGGTGTATTTCCTGTGTAACACACACACACACGATTTTTGTTTCGTATCTTTCATTTCAGAAACAATCCAATATGTTTGTTTCAACAATTAAATTCGGCGTGTTTAAAATTTATGTTAAGTGCAACTTCAAGAGTACAATTTTAAAAATAGTTTTTAACTTTTGTGCGCGTAGATTTTCTATTTATTAACGTTATAAAACGACCATTTCTCTTACAGTTTTATATCTTTCGTTAAAACAAGTACAGTATATCCTCCATTAAACATTAATGTCATATGACTGCATTTCAACTAGTGTTTTGTTTAAAGCTATGAATGCATTCATTCATAAAAAAGAAAAAAAATCTTTTTATCAGTTTTAAAAATTTAAACATATTTAATATATATTTAATTCTTAGAAGTCATTGAAACTAGTATTATTGATATTACCATTTTTTTTTAACCTATTAAATTGCACAAATAATAATTTAATGGCTTTCTTTCTTATTTAACATGCTAAAAATGATTACAACAATAAGAATTATTAATGTAAAATTTACCTGTTAGAATTGTTGGCTGCTTGATTTGTTAATCACTTAACAAAGCTCTTTACAATACAAATACTATGAGATTGCCAACTCTTTTGTAATGAATAACTGCATTACTATTATTTGCTATTGTTTAAATGTTTTTCTATTCCCTACTACTGATTTGGTGCTGTTTGTTTCACTAAATAAAAACTAAGTTTAATTTAGATGAATCTAAAATAAACTATCAACAAAATTTATTTTAAAAATTTTTATGCCTTTAAATAATAAATATTTTAAAATATAATTTAAAAAATTTTTACACTGTATATAAATTAAGTCTTAAAATTAAGGAGAAAAAACTTAAGATATTAAAACAAATATATAATTTAGATTTGCCAAAAAATTGTTTATTCTTTCTCTTATATTTTATCATATGTAATAGTATACAGACACTATATACTCCATATACTGCATAACAATAAGATAAAAATAGTAAAGATTTAAAATTTTAAAACATAAATTTTGCATTAAATCTTTAACTTTTATCCAGAATGGTTATTGTTTTTATATTCAACTAGATAAATTTTCAATGAATTAAATTAAAATTACTCTGAATGATAGTAATATTAAACATACTTTTAATTGAATTTTGATGAATATTAAATATAAAATGATGTGTTGTGTTTTAAAAGTATTAAATATTGCAAAATAGTAATTATTTTGAAAATTAGCAACATAATTGTAAAAATATCTGTAGTTGCATTTTGTAGGCTGTGATTCATGATTTCTGAATCATGTAAAGTATGTGACTGAACAGATAAATATTTTCCTAAGGTAATGTACTAATAATATAGAGTTTGAATAGATACAAATTTATTTATTTAACAATTTCACTTTAAATAAGCTATATATTAAAAATAACATTTATATATTTTATATTAATATATTGTCAGCAATATTTTATTTTGTGAAACTTTCACGTGAAAATTAATTTTAATATGAGTCTTTTTAGTATTTAAAAATGACAATAACTGAACATTTAGAAAGCATTTAATAGTATAATAAAAAATTAATGAATATATCTTTTTAATAATATAAATAAGTATAAAGCTGAAGTAACTGAAATATGCATTGTAAATTAACATTCTTTAAAAAGATAAAAGACCAGAAAGAAACTATAAAATCATGTGAAAGGTTAAAAAATCTTTTAAATTTATATCCATAAAATTATATAATTTGTAGAAGTATTCTTGTTTATAATACAGTATATAAAAACATATTAATATAACTATATTATCTAGCTTCTCAAAATATTTACCTAATAAATTTAGATGGATACTATAGTTGAAGATTACTTACTTCACTACTTATTTATAAGTAATTCTTTTATCATTGTCCATTATATTTAGTGATATATAGATTATTTGGAGTAAATGATAGTAAATAAAATACAATACAATAAAAGTTATGGTAAAGCAAACTCAGTTATAAGTTACAGTAATACTGCCAATGCATCAAACCTATTTTCATTACATTGCAGCCTGAAAGAGATGAGTATGAAGCCATTTTCTAAAATGAAAAATCAGAATTAGAAGAAAAGTTTAGTGCATGTAGTACCTTTAGTGTATAAGTAAAGTTATTAGTAATGGATGTATTACAGTTCAGATTTGGGATAACACAATGCCAACTTTAAAATAATAATTCAGGTTAAGTTATATAAATATTTCTGATTTTAAAATTTGAGAATAAATAGAAAAGTTAGATAAACAACATGCAATAGTAGATATGCAAGATACACAACAAAGATATAAAATATACTACAGGAATATTTATTATGCAAGGCTACATAACTCACATTTTCCAGGAAATATGTATTTGAAATATCAATATTGTGGAACCAATTGTTTTTATATACTAGTCTGTCAACATACATAATTTTCCCATTAACAGTTTTTAAAAATACCTAATAATTATACAATATACTATTGATAAATGAATTCTGTAGTTGTTCAGAAAGTTTTATATTTTATTTTAATATATATGTAATACTACTTTCTATTACTTACAATAACAATAGTAATTTATAAGTTAGTTATATGATAATATTATTTCTATGTATCTTTTGATAAAACTTCTGTAAGTAAAATTTGGCATTACATGTTGACATTTAGCAACGGATCATCTTTGACATGGCTACATGTTAAAATTCTTATTTTTAACACTGCTTATCTAAAAAGTCAAGCCTGTAGCTATAAACTATATTATTTAGATAGCTCCTTGAGAAAAAGTGAAATTAAGCATTTACTGAAAATCTCAATCATTAGTTAATGAATTATTGATCAGTTCAGAAAATTATTCAAAAAATTTCAATTTGTAAAAAATGTATAGATTTATATACATTTATAATCCAACATTACGTTGGAAATTAATTAATTCAAGAAATGCTACCATTTTCAGGTTATCAAAAAATATTCAATATTGAACTTTCTCAGCCTATTTAAAAAATAATGTACTCATTTGTTTGATGGCCTAAATATATCATTATTACATTTCTGGATAGATATGCCTTAATGCTTGAAAAATATGAAAGGAAAATGGCTTGCTTACTCAGAAATGAATAATAATACATTTTCTTGAAACAATGCAAAATAAACAATGAATGTACAGAATTTCATTTCCAAAAGTCTGTATGAAACTGAAAAGATTTATTTCAATTATTTGTAACATTTAATATTGCAAATTTAAACTGTAAAAAATATTCTATCCCACTTATTCTATTCTGAAGATAATATGAAATATTTTCAGCTTATTTAGGTTATCTTCAGAATAGAATAAGTTTTTCTATAATGTTCTGAAAATAGTTTTTTTGAATTAATTAATTAATGTATTGAAGTGCCAAGTTTCATTATATTTTTGGATAGTGGAAAATATTCTTGACATTTATAACATAGAATTCTGTGACGGCTGGATGGCCGAGCGGTCAAGGTGGCAGTCCACTGCCCTGGGGGACCCGGGATCAAATCCTGATGGGTCAAGGAACCCCCAGGAATTTTTCGGAGGTGGTCCATTCGGATATGTCGGGCTCCGTCCCTCACCACCCAGTTGCCCCATTGTGGGCCTGGCCAAACCCATAATGGGCCTGCTATAAGAGGTCCTCTTTGTGCCCACAGGGTGGAAAGAGTATAAAAAAAAAAAAAAACAAAATGCATATAAAATGTATTTAAATTTTAAAATTCTATCTTTAATAGCGATAACAAAATTAAATTAATTATAAGTATCATATTTAAGTAATTATAGATTGATTTAAATTCTTATTATTAATTGAGACCTTGCATACTTGGATTGTTAATAATTCAATAATTATAGTTACATTTGACTAGATTTGTGATAATGAAATATTACTTTGTCACTGAATATATAATATTCAAAGCAATACACAATTGTCCTGGCTAATTTAATCTTGTGAAACTATATGCAAGATGTTAAAATATTTTCTAAAGGTATTATTAAAAAATCATAGTTCTTAGAATATTTGTAACTTAGAAAGCTAGCATTTATTTCATTAACAATATAACTGGTGAATATTCAAAAATAATTTCAAAAGATTTAGAACACATTATTTAAAATAAAACAATTATGTAATATAGTATTATTTTTGCATTTATACATACAAAATTGTTCAGAAATACATTTTTATAAATCATATATATAGATATATAAAAAATTATTTATTCTTTTGAATAAAAAAATATTTTTACAATATTTAAATAATTGTATATGTACAGTACATTATTAGTATTTTTTTTTATTAATTAAAAATATACATTTATTTACATTTACAAAGCATTTAAAAATATTTTTATTTTATAAATTAAATCTGTTATCTTCACATTATTATTTTTCATTTAAATTTCGAGAAAATCTAAGAACAGATAGATGTTCACATCCACTGCGTCTTGACAAAACAACAGTACAGTGAAAATCATACGCTTTCATAATTCTTGCAATATCCACTGAAAATACATAATGAATACATTAAATAAATAACATTATATTATCATTCTAAATGTATTTACTATAAAAAAATTTTTTAGTTTGATAAATACATTTGAAATTGATAATGTACAAGTAATACACATATATAATACAAGTTGAACTTCACTAATCTGGGATTAACTAGACCAGCAACTTGTTCAGCACACTAAATCTGACAGTCATTAGTTTGCATGACCACTGCTTACCTACTTGTGTATTATTGTCAATGTGAAAACTAAAATTAATTATTCTGTACATTGAAATATCCAAAATTATCCACAGCTACGTAATGCAAGGACTCAAAAATTGATTCTGATCTGAAAAAAAGAAAATAGAAAGTAACATTTGTTTGTTAAAGTCTATGTTGTTATCACAGGCTACAGTCCTTCTTTGTATTTTTATTTTTTTTAATCACATGAAAAGTAGCCAATTTATGATTTTTAATGAGCTATACTAAAATTAATTAACAGGTTTTTCTCTCAAATAATACAACTTTAATTTATACTGCATACAGAACTGTTACTTCCAAACTGCACAAATACATTTAAGAAGTGAATTTACAGTACTGTAAAAGTTAAATGATTCTTTTTTGTTCATAATTTTTACATGATGTTTTACAGGTCTATTTTTCTTTGTTTTTTCTACTAACTTTTATGTCACAGTACAGTAAACTTGTGCCACAAGATTACAACTTTGTCATAAAGACCTGAACTATGTTTATGCCTAACTTGCATCAGCATTATTAATATAAAACAGTACACTAAATGCAGAGCCGTAACTAGGATTTTGGACGCCTATGGCCAAGAATAAAAATGGCACCTTTTTAATTTTTATTATTAAAAAAAATAATAATTTTATTCTGAAAAAATGCTATTGTAAAAAATTATCTAATGACATTTAAATACTATATAGATATAAATATAATAATTTTTTTGTGTTATTAATTTTAAATACATATTCCAAAACCTGCTCATTGGCTCCTTTATTAAATTGGTGCCTATGACAGGCCACATTGGCCATACTCTAATTACAGCTCTGAGTATATGCATTATTTTGCCATTTTTTACCCAAGCTCAGAAAATCTGCTGTCCTGACAAGGGTCTGATCCCAAAATTGCCAGATTAGTGAGGTTCAACACATACAAAATAATGGATACTTTATAAAAGTAATGTACACTTCATGCCTACACTTTACTGTACAATGTAATTGCACTTACGTGTTGTGGCATTATCAATGGTGAACTCATTTATACTTCAAATTCACCATTGGTAACACCACAACACGTAAGTGCAATTACATTATACAATGGATACTTTTAATAATCAAATAATTTCTGTTTATTTTCAAATTACAAATGCTACATAAATTAAATTTATTTGTAAAGATATTTTAAACAATATAATTACTTTAAAAAATTACATAATATAATATATTGCTTCAGTTCAAAATAAAATAAATATGAGTAATTTATAAATATTTATAAATCTACAATGTTCTTGTATTAACTGCAAATTTAGTATGGGTATTGCATTATAAATAAAATCAACTAATTAAAAAAAAAAAAACATTTTAACTTAAATTATTTAGGCTTATTTACTTATTATAAAAATTGAATATTTTACAAAATATTTTCAAATTTAATTAATAAAATTACATCTTAACTTTTATTATAAATTTATATTATTCCAAATAAAAAGTGCATTTCAAAATTTTTATAGTGTATTGTGTATGTATATTTTACTACAAGAAATTTATATAATAAGAAAGAAAAATTATATAAAGAAAAGTTACAAGATTAACTAGAATTTTATTTGTTTTTTGAAAGCATTTAAAATTATTTTATAGGATAATTAAAATGTTAAAAAAAGACTAATATAAGCAAAGAAAGAAACATTTTAAAGCTATGTTTATTTTGCTGGATTATTCAGATGGTCTTTTAAAATAGAAAATACTTTGTATTATTGAGTATATTTTTGCTTTGGTTACAGAATTACAAAAAATACTTTTAAAAATATTTCATAATAAAAATTTTGATAACTTTTATACATGAAATAAAATTCTGCAGATAAAATAAATTTGTTTTCTTCTATTCACAAATAGAAAGCACTCTGGCTCAGAAAGATGACCATGTTTTTGTAATCATATTAAAGTTGTCCAAACAAAAGTTCATATTTTTATCACTAAACCACATTTATAATTTAAAAAATATTAATTTTAAGCCATTCTTTACCTCCTTAAAAAATCTCCATAGAATAATAATGGACCTTAAAATCAAAATCTGAATCATGACAATTTTGTTTTGAATTACAAAATAATAATAGCCATAATGATTCAAATTTTCCTTTGAAGTCTGAATTTTAATTTTGTTTTTCTGAGTTTTAATTAAAATTGCACTCATGCCATTGTTTGCATTAAGTTTGATTAAAATTATGCTTTAGTAACAAATATTTATTTAGAATTCAATTTAAAATAATTTTTATATACTGGATTATCATAATTAATTAAAGTACTGTCTAAAAAGCTATCCAGCAGTCTAAATGTGACCAAATTTAGTATGACATTTCAGGGCATGTAGAAGGCAATTCCTTAAAATGAAAAAATTAGTAAAAATATTCAACAGTTTCATTTGCATAAGCAAAGGAAACTATAAAAATGGTCACAACTGTCATTCTTATTAGCTTTGATGTCCATCACCTTACCAGAATGTGCATTTCTTGTGAAGCTATTCTATAAAAACAATGCTGCAGTTGCACTTTGGGGATTTTTGCACTCATAACTGCTCTCAACTGCAACAGTGACACTGCCTGGAGCCATCCATTTTCATTCAAGAGTGAGCACCACTATATATAGAATGCTATTTACAGTTCTACAACACCATCTCATCAAAACAGAATGATTAGTCATGCATTTCCTACTGCCTAGCCATCTCATTCTCTGGATGTTAATCCATGTGATTTTGGTTGTAGGGACACTTAAAAAGTGTGTTTTATCAAGGATATGTTGCAAATTTGACAACCTTAAAAGACAATATCAACTAGATGTGAGACGCATCTCAGAGGATCAGTTACAGTCAGCTGTTGAAATACATGTTCCTCACCATCAGATTGAGAACCATACTGAACTTTAAAGTTAATTTGACCAAAAATAGTCATTGACCTCCTTTTGGATGAGAGGATGATCCCTGAAAAGTTTTATTGCATGAAACCTTTCAGGGATCATCCTCTCATCCAAAAGGATATTTAACTTTCAAAAGGATAATTAACTTTTTTCTTTATATATTAGATTGAATATATAATACATAAAGTAATACAGACATAGATATTTTAAATAGAAGCTATCTATTAACATCATTTTACTGTAAATCAAAATTTAAAAATAATATTCTGTTAGAGGAGAATTATATTTAATCTTGCAATTTCTTAATACACGGATAATTCCTTAAATTTATGAATGCATGTCACTATATCTATAAAAAAAATTTAAACTAACTAATTACAAATTTAAAAAATGATAATTTATTAAAAAAATTATGATTTGTTAAGAATAAATTTCTTGAATTAATATTTTATGATTAAGCCTTGTTAAAATNCTTCCTTTTATTCCACCTGCCCAAGATGATGATAAACTTTCACCACCTACCTATGAAAAGTTAAACATTTTTATCTAGATCAATATTTTCTGATGATACTATAAAATTTATTATTTAATTAGGGATAAAATTTAGTATTCATTTCCTTCCTGTGATAAAATTCATCTGTTCTAATTTCATCACCTTTAATTGGAAGACTCAAGGTTACAAAAGTATTTATAGTTTCATGTTTTTCAATCATTATTCTAATAGATGTAGATTAAAATTTTTTTATTTAATTAAAATAATTATTTGGTAAATGGCACCAAAATGGATAATGGCAAGTGGTTTAGATGTGGTTTTATTACAAATTATAATTGAAATGTTTGTTATTTAAGTGATCATGGGCAAATGGGACAAATTATTTAAGTGATCATGGGCAAATTGTTCATGTAGCATGGGAATTATATGGACTAGTACTGGCACTTATGAATATAAAGATAGGGATTGGACCAGTCCTACAAGTGCTTCTGAAAATTTTTTGATTTCCTGATGCCCTCTTCTACCCCTGCAAGTGATTAATGAGTTTCTAAGTTGGCAATAATTATTTGATAAGAAGCCACAGTTTTCATAGAAATATTCTGTAATCTTAAAAATAATTATTTGTATGAGTGAAATTAATGTAATATAAAAAATTAATTGTAGTCCAAATGTTTGGTTATAAGTCACTAGAATAAACTATTATACCTATCTGAAAATCTATAACATGTTGAATAAGATTGTTAAACCTAAATATAGATGTTTAAGTTTTTAGTGAGTGATCTAAAATTTATGTTTCTTCTTATAAACAAGAAGTATAATGGAATTATTATAAAGATAAGCATTTTTCTACTTTATTAAAATAACTTGACTAAATATTCTATCCACACGATATATTTTCTTTTTATTATTTAAAAAACATTCTCCAATATGTTGGCATTATTATATACATTATTTAAATATGACATGAAAAATAAGCAACATTATACATATTAACGTAATTTACAGACATTTTAAAGAAGATAATTCAAACTAATGAAAATCAATAGTTAATGAGACAGCCATAAGGTTAAAATACTACCTATCTACATGGACCCTATATTGTGAAGAAGAAAACTGTAATATAGTATAGACAGAAATAATATTAAAGTAATATTTAAAGAAATCTTTAAAGTTTTATTTAAAGAAAATGACATGTATATAAAGAAGGTTTAAAGAACACATAACTATTATCCATTGTCAAAATTGTATCACCTAAATAATGGGATGGAAATTGATGGTGTATGATATGACGTCATTAAGAATCATAAAAGGTGTCTCAAATGTGAAGTCAGATAGTGAAACACAGCAACTGAGTCAATGAAGCCATGAGATTCGTTTTGTAAACTTTTAAATTTGTTTTAAATATATATTTTCTTAAAATTGATTTTTAAATTTAAAATCTGCAGCCTGAAGAAGGATTGGAAAATACCAATCCAAAATGCATTGTTAAATAGACAAATAAAGTGAATTGTTTTATCAATCTTGGCCTCTGTTTATTGCAGATAATTAAAAAAGACTCAATAAAGATCACTAGTCTCACTATTGGAAGAAACTTTTACTCACAAATATTTTACATTTGAAAATTTTCTGTTATTTACTTTACAATTAACAGCTTAGTTATTAAGTAATAAAAGAAATTAGTCTATTATTAATTAAAGTATGTTAGAATGTCCATCAATATCCTTGAACATTTTTTAACAGAAAAGAATGAAAATAAATTATTAAAACATTAAGTTATATAATTAACACAAAAAATTTTATATCATTCATAAAAAAGTTTTGAAATTATTAAACAGGGACCATATCACCTGCATGTAACAAAAGAATAAAGAATATTAAACTGTAGATAAGCTAATTATTATAAACAAACATCTTTTCCTAATGTATTTGATTTCAAAAAGTGTTTTCTATATTATGAATAACAACACAAAAGATGATGAAGTTTTATATTGCCAATAGTAATTTTAGAATTCAATTAAAAATTTATCAACTTTATTATAATATAAATATTTGAATTAAAAAAGTATTAACAAACATCAGAAAACATTTTAATGTTATTTTATACTTTTTCAATTGGTAGCATTTTAATTTGGTTTTTAAAAGTTATAATATAAATTATATTTTTAATTTTTTGTTAACTTTCACAACTATCAAATAGTATTAAAAATTAATAAATAAACAAAAAATTATAGACTTACTATAATCATTCTGTTTAATAATGACTAAATAAAAAAGGCCATTTTCACTCAATAAGTCTGATATGTATGGTATAAATCTGTCAATAACTTCTCTTCCTTTTATTCCACCTGCCCAAGATGATGATAAACTTTCACCACCTACCTATGAAAAGTTAAACATTTTTATCTAGATCAATATTTTCTGATGATAAAATACATTTATAATAAACAAAAATATTCTAATAATAATAATAATAATAATAATTTTGCTAAGAAAAAAATCAAAAAGTTTAAAAATGTTATTTTTATTTAAAGTTATATCACTGGTTGTTAAACCAGTGATATTACGATTTCGTATGTCCCATCTTTAAGGGGATGTAAAAAAAAACGTGTACAATTCTTGTATAATGTTAAAAAATTAACTGTTACTTTGGTAGCATAATTTACAACTAAATTTAATGAATAGAGAGATGCACCAGGTACAGGAAAAGCTCTAGAATTTATTTTCCTTAAATTTATGATTTATGTATCCATTTGTCATAAAAATTTGTCTTTCCACTTTTTTCCTGAGACTACAAATATCCGAGTACAAAGTAACCAGTTTCGACTTACTTGTACTTAAGTAGTAGTTAAATAATTAATATCCGAGTACAAAGTAACCAGTTTCAACTTACTTGTACTTCAGTAGTAGTTAAATAATTAAGCGATTAGGGAATTGGGAACATAAACAAACCTCTGATAAAAGAGCCAAAATTTTACTTAAACAAAAGCCTAACTGAACCAATCTCTAGCCGAGTACAGTGAGACTGATTTCTTTGAAATATTAGATGTAATAAAGACAGACATTTTTCCAGTTCAACGAGAGTGACTGAAAAGTTGTAAATTTTGGAAATTTCCATGGACAACACCTGTTCCTAAAACGAATTAGTTAGAAAACAAATGACAGACAATCTATTAAGCTTAACATATTTAGACTTTTACAGCTATGGTGAGAAACATTTAAAATTTACAAGAACCCTGTCACGTCTTTTGAGGTGTATTAGTGATGCGACAAAAGAGGCATTTGAAATTGACCGGTATCAGCACCCTCAAGATTTGGCAGCCCGCGTGCATGTACACACCGCACACCTAGCAGGACCATCTCTGATTCCACTCGTAGGGAGCTATTTGACTAAGTGGTTAAGATTTAAAGAGTAAACAATATTTTATGTTATTTTTATGTACGNCCGCATGAGCATTTTAATTTTTTTCGTGGCTACTTTCATGGAATAATCTTTCAACAAATAATCCATTTAATGGTTAAATGTTACAATTGGGACCCTTCTTTTGCCTCTAAAAGCTCATATTTTAGAATTATAGATTCCTCTATCACAATACTATCGATAGTGTGGATGCTGCCATCTTTCTTTCTTTCACTGTTGTTCCTAAATGCCTACAAACAGCAGCATACTCCTGTTGTAGTGGAGACAGAGTGACCGCTATTAACGAACGCACCTAAAAACTGTTACCAGTTGATGATGCTCATGCTGAGATCATATAGAATGAATAATCCTCTGGTAAAATATTTACTTAAATAATAAATAAGTATTTTACCCGTAAAAAAAATGAATAAATCGATTTAAAGAAGGATTTAACAGCATGTTTTTTTTAATTTTTGGAACCTAACCTCCCTTTTTGCACTAGTTCTTTGTTTCGTATAACACGGATTCGCATAACACGGCAATTTTTTGGAACGTAACTCCTGTGTTATATGGGAGTTACCTGTATTATGATTTATATAAATAAAAATATTTTAAAAATTCTCTTTTATACAGTATATTTTTAATTGGCTCTGATGAAATATACATAACTTTGGAAATGAACACTTCAACAAATTAACATACAAATTATATTTGTGATGATAATATAAAAAAACAATTTTATGATATCAACATTCTTAAAATTATTATTACCTCATGAGATGGAGTTACAACATAAGGAGGATTAAATAAAATTAAATCAATTTTTCTTTGAAGGCGATCATGCAAACCAACAACCTATAACATATTAAAAAACAACTTAAATGTAAGCCTTATTGATATTAATTTTGGTTTTATTATTAAAAAACACCCTAAGCAATATTTATCATTAATTATTCTTTTATCAAGATCCAATTACTTGTCATTTGTATGAAATTCTAAACTATTTCTGAATAAATAAATACAAAACTCTATGCATTTGTAGCTAGAACTATTTTAAAACGACAAGACAAAACTTTTTTCACTTGTTTCTAGCCATTTATACACGAGTACAAATGTTTTTGGCCTTCTTAATAGGCCTTCTTCAGATACACCATGGTCTGTTAGAGCGTCGGTTGGTAGAAATTTAAACAGCCGTTTATACACAAGTACAAAAACGTTCGTACTCATATATAAATGGCTAGAAACAAGTGAGAAAGGTTTTGTCTTGTTGTCTTAAATACAAAATTGATTAATATATAGCTATGTTTAATAACTGTTAATAAATTTAATGCTTTAATATTAAATAATAAATATTGTATAATTTCTAAACATTAGAGTGGTTGTGGCTGACGTTTTCAATGCAAAAACATTGGATGCATATATAGAGATATTTTTTGAAGGGAGGAAATGGTCTTCACAATTTGAAATCGATCGAACACACTGTGCGCGAATGCTCGTGTAAATGCGCGCCATCTATCGTAGGATAAATGTACTTCGCGGGAGTGTATTAAAAAATTAAAAAAACTTTCCAAAGTTTCATGGCAATCGGATAAACGGTGTGGTAATGCATGAAGGACAGACAGACACACACACACACACATACATTCATTTTTATATATATAGATAACTGAAATAAAGTATTTGCCAAATTTATATTTATTGTTCACATTAAATCAAACATTAAATTAAGACAAAACATTTTTATAACCTAAATCAAAAAGCAATTCACTCAAAATTAAGATTTAGAACCCAATTAGGCAAGCCTCAATTAACTGAGGTTCTGCATTATCCAAGGTGTATCTGTAAGTGAATACACTACTTTTCTTATAATTTATAAAAGCTTTGCTGTAATTGCATGTTTGTACCAAGCAGCAACATATTGTCAGCAAAAATCAACAAGGAAGCAAATTCCCTGACTTTTTCTGAACACTAATGAAAACTGACTGACTTTCCCAGTATGTAGGAACCCTGTATGTATTAGCTATATAATAAATAATGTAAAAAAAACTGTTTTTATATATATGATTAAATTCACTAAGGTATAAAAGAAGGTTTAAATTGATACTATTGAAATCTTTTATATTCATAATTTTTAATACAAAATGGCTGTGACCATCCATTTTATCCAATTTCAGTTATCCTAGGTAGCAATGGTCCACATTACCTCAGGTAATCATGGTTCTACTATGTATATATATTGTAGAACTCTCTGATTATCCAAATTAATGAATAAATTAAAAACTAAAATTAATTTTTAAAATTAAATCATATATATATATGATATATATATATATGAGTTAATTAATTATATATACAGGTAACCCCGTATAACACGGTGCTTTTATAGCATGGGTTCACTCTAACACAGTTCGGGAATTGGGTAAAGCCCTCATACAACATGAAATGTAATAAATGGTGCGTTCTTTTATACCTCTGCATGAGCATTTTAATTTTTTTCGTGGCTACTTTCATGGAATAATCTTTCAACAAATAATCCATTTAATGGTTAAATGTTACAATTGGGACCCTTCTTTTGCCTCTAAAAGCTCATATTTTAGAATTATAGATTCCTCTATCACAATACTATCGATAGTGTGGATGCTGCCATCTTTCTTTCTTTCACTGTTGTTCCTAAATGCCTACAAACAGCAGCATACTCCTGTTGTAGTGGAGACAGAGTGACCGCTATTAACGAACGCACCTAAAAACTGTTACCAGTTGATGATGCTCATGCTGAGATCATATAGAATGAATAATCCTCTGGTAAAATATTTACTTAAATAATAAATAAGTATTTTACCCGTAAAAAAAATGAATAAATCGATTTAAAGAAGGATTTAACAGCATGTTTTTTTTAATTTTTGGAACCTAACCTCCCTTTTTGCACTAGTTCTTTGTTTCGTATAACACGGATTCGCATAACACGGCAATTTTTTGGAACGTAACTCCTGTGTTATATGGGAGTTACCTGTATTATGATTTATATAAATAAAAATATTTTAAAAATTCTCTTTTATACAGTATATTTTTAATTGGCTCTGATGAAATATACATAACTTTGGAAATGAACACTTCAACAAATTAACATACAAATTATATTTGTGATGATAATATAAAAAAACAATTTTATGATATCAACATTCTTAAAATTATTATTACCTCATGAGATGGAGTTACAACATAAGGAGGATTAAATAAAATTAAATCAATTTTTCTTTGAAGGCGATCATGCAAACCAACAACCTATAACATATTAAAAAACAACTTAAATGTAAGCCTTATTGATATTAATTTTGGTTTTATTATTAAAAAACACCCTAAGCAATATTTATCATTAATTATTCTTTTATCAAGATCCAATTACTTGTCATTTGTATGAAATTCTAAACTATTTCTGAATAAATAAATACAAAACTCTATGCATTTGTAGCTAGAACTATTTTAAAACGACAAGACAAAACTTTTTTCACTTGTTTCTAGCCATTTATACACGAGTACAAATGTTTTTGGCCTTCTTAATAGGCCTTCTTCAGATACACCATGGTCTGTTAGAGCGTCGGTTGGTAGAAATTTAAACAGCCGTTTATACACAAGTACAAAAACGTTCGTACTCATATATAAATGGCTAGAAACAAGTGAGAAAGGTTTTGTCTTGTTGTCTTAAATACAAAATTGATTAATATATAGCTATGTTTAATAACTGTTAATAAATTTAATGCTTTAATATTAAATAATAAATATTGTATAATTTCTAAACATTAGAGTGGTTGTGGCTGACGTTTTCAATGCAAAAACATTGGACGTTCAGCGCCGTCTTCCTGTAAGCCTAGAAATTTGACAATGGCATTTGGAATGTCAAGCATGATTCCACCAACATTCTAAATGCCATTGTCAAACTTCTAGGCTTACAGGAAGGTGGCACTGAACATCTGACGTACATGTTTTCACATTGAAAACGTCAGCCACAACTTCTCTATTGATCAGACTTATGCTATTAATTACATAAAGCCAAAAGATATAAAATGAGTCTGAATAGTTCAAATATTCTTGGTTTAACCATACTCAATGACAACTAATTCTTCATATTTATTTGTAGTAAAATATCCAAAATGGACAGAAGCAAATTTTCAGATGTTTTTAAATTCTGTTAAACTAAACTAATCAAATTTAAAAATATACATTTAAAAATGATATTAGTGATAATGTAGATAGTGATATCTATCTATAATCTAAAGAAGGAATTTATCCTATGTTTTGAAAATAATATAAATACTTAATGAAAATAGTATAAAAATAAAATGAATACTTATGATAAACATAAATATTAATTAAAAAAAATTCAAGGACAAAGAAATGCTACATTAATTAACAAAAATTAAAATAATTTAATATAATTAAATATTATGAAAAATTTCTGTATAATTTATATATTAAATAACAAAAACTTCTTGGCAATAATTAAACAGTATTACAAAATGCATTATAATTACAGAAACTGAACTTTTTAAAGTTCTTCAAATTGGAGTATGAGTGAAAAACAAATATGAAGCAAATCTTATAAATGCAAAACAACATATTTCAAATACAAATTTTATTTGATTCTGTCTTGTAAATTGATTACTTAATAAAGATTTGTTTTTACTTTTATTTGAATTATTCTTTCTCTCTACATGCCTAAATCTTTTATTTTACTTAACTCTGATATTACACTTTAATATTCCAAATACTTTAACAATTCATTAGAAGTAATAGCTTTCAAGAAGTATATAATACAAAGAATTTAAAACTATAACATCTTCAGATTTTAACAAAATGTAATTGCTTTCTTTGATGATAAAACTGCATTCTTTAATAATTTAAACTGCAATCTTTTATGTAACTGTAATTAATATAAAAATATATACCATATTTCCTGAAGTCTAAGATGCCAAAATAAAAGTTTAAAATTCAATTTTAAGATTTTTTTTATGAAGGGAAAACTTTTAATAATTTTAATAAGTTTTGTTTAAGTAATAAGTTAGAAAAACAATATGAATTCCATAAAAGAGACTGAGTTTAGAAGCTTTATTTCATTACTTGTCTGCAAATACAATAGCTATTCATTTTAATGCATGAAATCATAATGTCATCTTGAAATGCACATTTTAAACATTAAAAAAAATTTAAATTAAACACTTTAGCAAAGATTATTTGAACTGATGTAGTATTGAGCAATATAGCTGAAAACATTTATTATTATTGCATAATGCATCACATGGTCTACTTGTTATGACTGCTAATTGTTTTAGAATATGAATGTAGAATGTCATTGATTCTAAGATGCACCTCTATATCAGGCAAGTAAAATGGGGTAAAAAAGTGATTCTTAGAATTGCAAAACCACATTATAATAATATAATTATTTCTATAAATAGATGATTTTTTAAATTAATTATTAAATAACTTACCAAATCAGTTCTAACAATTTGAATTTCAGTATTGTTTTGTTTTGAAGTTATTTTTGTAACTTCGGTGGCATATTTATTTTTGTCTGTAGCACTAAAGAAATAAAATAATTAATTAAAAGCTTGAAAAAATGAATTTAAAATAAAAAAATTTTTTTAGCTCACATAAATAATGCTGAATTGTTTAAAGCTTTGGCAACAGCCGTAATTACAACTCCACTTCCACATCCCACCTCCAAACAAATAACTGGGCTTAAAAAATGCAAAATTTATTATTTTAAAGTTAGTAATTAAATAAGATAAATATTTTTATCATCATATAGGATTGTTATTTTTTACTTAGGAATAATTTGTAAATTATCCTACATAATACTATGGTAAAAAAAAATCTTGAAAGGAGATATAACTTAAATTTATGTAAGAAACCAATACAACAAATTTACACAATTATTATATAAAAAATTTTGTTATTTTATATAATATTTTTATCTCAACAAATTTTGAATAAAAAGTATATTTTCCAATGATGTGGTTTTATATAACAGAATAAAGATTGTATTAACAAAAGTCAATTTATTTAAAAGGGATAAAAAATATCATAAAATACTGTATAAAGAATACAAATACAATAACAATACTGCTTTATTTAATTTTAACTGATTCTATAGTTCTATCAATTCATGATCTAAATCTGAATGTATTGTTTTTGAAAACAATATTGAATCATTTAAATTACTTTTGTTTATGAGTCATGCCTTAAGTAATTTATGCATATAGTGTGATTCATATGCAAAGGTAAGTAGTAGTCCACGCACAAAAATTTATCTTTGTAAACAAGAAAATATGTCACATATATTTGCTATTGTATCTTATTTTCAAAAAAGTTAAAAGAAAAAAACTATATTTTTGAATTCTAATGTAATAAGATGTGTTTCAAATTTATACTGACACGAAAAAATTAATGTGAAACCTAAATTTGCTGCATTAAGTGACAAATGTTTTATTAAAAATAACTTGGATTTACTTGTTTCCACACTGCAAAATAAGAATTTTAATCAAACATTAACATTTTGTCACTGAAAATAATATTTTTGAAAATTTTGTACAAAAAACTGTTACATATTTATGCAGACAGGCACTCATTTCATTTACTTAAATAGAATATTGTTTAGTTTCAAGCATTGAAATATGCAAATCAGCTTACATATCTAATTGTAATACAAATTCTTTATGTTGTTCAACGTTCTAAAATGGGTAGGCTATCTTTACTATCATAAACAGTCAGCAAACAGCTTAAAAGCAACTTTATATGCCAGTCTCTTCTGCTTTGACATCTTGATGGGGTTGTATGAAATATGATATATTTCATTCAGATATACCATACTACATATATCACTGCTATTAGCTGAGCGCAGAGACGAGTGCCTTCACCCGCTCCCGTGCTGGCTTACGAGACTCTAAAAAGTGCACAAAGCCAGCGCGGGAGAGAGCGAAGGCACGTGCCTCTTCGCCCAGCCAATCGCAGCGCGAGGCAAAGACCGCACAAAGCCAGTGCGAGGCAGAGCGGAGCTTCCTGGTATCAGACGGCGCCAAGAGGTGGAAGGGAACGGAGTGGCCGAGTATTCCTGCGGTTATGTATGTATGCAGAAGTGGAGGGGCAGCGGAGGGCCATGGTGGGCTTTTGTATTTGCCGTATAAGACGCAGGCACTTTTTCCCCCCCGATTTTGGAGAGAAAAAGTGCGTCTTATACGGCGAAAAATACGGTA